AATCTCTCAAAAACAGACAATTATTGCAGTAGAAGAGGCATGATTTAAAACACCTGAAAATGAACTTAAAAGGAGACAAAGACCTAAATAGTTGACAAATACTATCAGCTGAGACTGAGAAAGAATTAGAATGGTTAGGAAAGAGAATATTAGAAGCACATGTGGACCATGTGGATCCAAACTAAACTGCATTTGGTTATTTTACATTCTAGGAATACACCTCAGGAATATTAATTCACAGGCATGACATACTAGACTGGGTATTTCTGCCACATAAACACAATAAATAATTGAAAGTGTATATAGAATAGGTCTCTGATTTGATTTTAAAAGATAAGTGCTTCAGCCAACTGACTGGAAGAGACACAGCAGAAATTATTGAACCTTTAACTAATGAGGAAATTTCCTCCTAATGGAAGGAAAACAAATACAGGAAATGGCTTGCAGTAACTTTTGGGAACGATTACTAATAATAATCCCAAAAACAGAGATAATCAAATTCATAAAGAAAACAATCAGGATTCTTCCGCATTTTTCGAGAAAAGCGACTATGTTTGGAGTTCTTTCATTCTACACTGTTGCAAACAAATTTGGTAAGGCAGTTTCTAAATTAGGAAATATAAGTAGTTCAAAGCCCTTACAAGTCTGTACAAAGAGCAGGGTTGTACATCATCTCCTGTACTTAAAGACTTTACAAAAGCCTCTCAAAGCTGGGCGTTGGTGGCGCACGCCTTTAATCCCAGCACTCGGGAGGCAGAGACAGGTGGATCACTGTGAGTTCGAGACCAGCCTGGTCTACCGAGAGAGTTCCAGGACAGGCTCCAAAACAATACAGAGAAACCCTGTCTCGAAAAACCAAAAAAAAAAACAAAAAAAAACAATGCCTCTCAAAATAGTAACAGACTCTCAGTATGCAGAGAGAGTTGTCTTCCTCATTGAGACTGCAGAGTTCATTCATGATGGTCCAGAATTAACCTCATTGATTTTAAAATTACAGAAAACCATCAGAAATAGAACTCATCTAATATATGTATAAG